AGAGAGAGAGAGAGAGAGAGAGAGAGAGAGAGAGAGAGAGAGAGAGAGATTCATGCTGTCAAGAAATCCTCCTGGGAGGTGAGAAGTGGGAAGGAGGTGAGGGGGTGGGGCTAGGTCAGTGGTCTGAGGCACCGGGAGGGCTGTGGGTGTGCCTGTAACTGGATCACCTCTGGGAGTGCCACGCCTTTAACCTGGAGCAGCCTCAGAGAAGGGGGTGGACCTTAGGAGGGCTAGCTCAGGTGGGTGGACCGGATAAGGAGGAGCAAAAAGCAGGAGGCCTTAGGATCGAACCCCACTTAGTTTCTAGTCTTTGCCCTAAGAATTGGCCCTGCTTGGCCAGGGGGAAGTTGAGAGGGGCCTGATGAACTATAGAATCGGGACCTAGGCTCTGTACAGTGACCTTGGATGAGTGTGTGTGTGTGTGTGTGTGTGTGTGTGTGTGTGTGAAGGCTCCAGAGACATTTTCAACTGTACTGAGTATTGGAACCTAATTCCCCACTTCCCCCATGAGGCACCTTCCCCTGGTTAGGGATGTGGGGGGCATGCAAGATGAATCTGTTCCCTGCCTCTGCTAACCCGAACCTAGGGAGGGCTCTAGTCATCCAGCCGGGGGCACCTTTGAGGACTGTGGTTGTGGGAAAGAAGCAAGAGTTTCCAGTAAGCCCGGTTGACCCTCTTGCTTTCCCTGGGACTGGGGACTGGGGAAGCCCTTTGCTGCGCACTCCGCCCCCGGGGCTGGCCGCCAGCCTGGCTCCTCGAAATGGGCGGGCACATAGCAGGGGTTCAGCCGAGCGCGTCCTGATAAGGAGACCGCTCCTCCCAACTTTCCAGCTCAGGGATGAGGGCTGGGGCATGGGGCAAGCAGGCAGGCAGACAGACAGACTGTCTGTTCGCGCACACAACTAGAGTAAAGTGCATGGGAACACCCAGCACCAGTCATTCGCGCCCGGCCTCCACCCTCAAGGATTCCCAGTGTGAAGACACGTGGGAAGTATGGTCCCCCTTTTGTTCTGAGCTTGGGAAGTTGATGGCCCTGGCCTCCTCCCATCTGTAAAGTTCTGGGTTAGCCAGAACTGAGGTGAAGAGGTTCCAGGCAGGTTCTAGGCCCCCTGGGTTTTGTCTTAGAAACTGGTGTCCTGCACAGAGGCCTTGCCCCGAGTACCAGGCTCAGTGCGTGATAGTCTGGGGTCTCTGGTAGCTGTCTTTCCTGGGCCTTTCTGTTTAGGGCAAAAGACAGCGCTGAAGCTTGGTGGGTGCCTATGTGGACGGAAATGTGGAGAAATACCTTAATCATAGCTCTGACCTGTTTATAGAGTTCCTTTCTCCTGCAAGTATCCATTAACTCTGGAATGAATCTCCTGCTCTTTGCTTCCCTACTTTTTTTTTTTTCTTTCTGTAATTATATTCAGTAAATTACTATTATCCAAATTGTGCCCGGGAAAGAGAGAGAGAACTTCTAAAGGGCTGGAGGAGGCTGCCTAGGAAAACACAGGGTTCCCAGGCCAGGCCTGGAGGAATTAGAATGGGCCAGAAAGTTTTTCCTTTTATTTGGCCTGGCATTATCCCTTTGAAATGAGATCAATTTCAAGTTGGGCTTCCCGGCCCCACCCCGCCCCCTCGCGGCCCCTCGGCCTGTCTGTCGGCTCCCCGCTCCTCTCTTGGAGGTGAGGAAGCAGTGATAATGCCCAGTTTGCCTCTTGCTGGCGCCAGCCGGCTGCGCTGTTTATCTGGCTGCTGGGGGAATCTGGGCAGTTAGGCTCCTTCGGCCTTAAAGCGCCAGGAGCTCCTTTTCTGTCCTCCCGATCCCGAGGCTTGGGGTTGGAGCCTTTAGGTTCTGAGGGAAGAAGAAACAGGCACCCAGAAGGCCCCCTCCACGCCCGCCTGCCTGTCATTTCTTGGGAGGGGAAAAAAGTCGGAGGCCCCGGCAAGCGTGTGGGCTTGTCCTACAGCAGAGCTGCCCTACAAAGATGGGTGGAAAGTAATGTCACATGGAAACTCCCGCCAGGCTCCCAGGCTCCGAGAGAGGCTGTGAGCTTCCTTCTGGCTGGAGATGAAGGTCTAGATCCCAGAAGGCTAGGTAGCCCCTGAGGGCTGACCAGAGGGGGGCTGGGCTGCGCTGTTGGCTCCTGGCTGACTACTCAATTTTTGGAGGAAGTTAGGGGAGATTCTTCTAGTCCATGCCTCGGTGCTGGAGGTCTGAGGAGCTTGGCGTTTCTGATGTCTTTATCTTTTTCTCATGACCAGTTAGTTCTCTCAGAGGATCCTACAGAGACTGGAAAGGCTCCATTAGAGTTTACAGTGTGTAAATTTCCAAATCAACAGAAATCTTATTTATTTATTTATTTTGGTTTTTCGAGACAGGGTTGCTCTGAGTAACAACCCTAGCTGTCCTGGAACTATTTCTGTAGACCATGCTGGCCTTGATCGCACTGAGATCCACCTGCCTCTGTCTTCCAGGTGCTGGGATTAAAGGTGCACACCACCACTGCCTGGTTAATCAGCATAACTCTTAACAAGGGCTAGAACATCTTCTAGACAGTGGGTGGAGAGCTAGGGGCCAACCTGAAGATTCTCTCTGATCCTGTCTGTGTCTTACCCAGTGGAGGGCTCACCTAGCCTGCCTGAAAAGTGTCCTATGGGTCCATTCTCCTAAATCCTGGAGGCTGAGTAGGAGGGGAGAGGGAACGACAGGTAAGAATTATTGGTATTGTTCACAGCACATCATTCATAACAGCGAAATGTGGAACCAACCCAAATGTCCATTAGCGGTGAATGGATAGACAAAGTGTGATGGAGCCGCACAATGGAATACCATCCAGCCGTAAAAAAGGGTGAAGTGCTCACACATGCCAAGGCATGGATGGGCCTGGAGAACACTGTGCTGAACAAAAGAAACAGACACAAAAGGCCATATAGTGTATGATCTTATGAACATGAGACTTCCAAACGAGGCAAATCCGTAGAGACAAAGGGTAGATTAGTGGTTGCCTGGGGTTTAGGGTTGGAATATAGGAAGTGACTGCTAATGAGGACAGGTGGGGTTTTTTTGTTTCTGTAATGCTGAAGATCTATGGTTATATCATGGTGATGGTCATGCAACTCTTTGAATGTACCCCCAAATAACTAGACTGTATACTTTAAAAGGGTCTTGTGATCTTTGAGTCCGCCTTCCCCCCTCCCCATTTAAGATTACCTGGTCTTGTTTTCCAACAGCGACAGGGATGAGATGAGACAGGGATGACGTATGTAGTTGCCTTCCAGCATGGCCTTGGGCAGTCCTTTACTGACTGGAGGTGAGGTGTCTCATCAATAACAAAGGAGTTGAGAGCTTCCTTGGTGGTGCAGGCCTGTCATCCCAATCCCAGTGCACAGGAGGCAGAGGCAGGAGGATGCCTGATGTGTTTGAGGCTAGCTTGAGCTATGCATTGAGACCTTGTTTCAGAGCCAAAATAAAAGGGGGGTTGAGTTTGGCCAAGCCTCCCACAGCTTTTGACCTTTGACATGCTAGAGCTCTGTATTCTGGGCTGGTTACTATAAGTCTTATACTTTTTACTTTCTAGAAGGATCTGTGGTTAGACTAAGTCCCTTCCAGAAGCTTAGCTGTCTTTCTCTGGCTGCATATCTGCCGTCCTGACATCTGTTTTCTTTCTGTCTCACTGACGATGCTAGGAACCTCTCCCCAGGTGTGACTGTGGGTAGTGGGTACTTCAGAAGGGGAAACAAGATGAGCATTTCAGAGTCCCTGTAAGGACCCCGGGGATGGCCAGGGATATGCGTGCAGTGTGTTCAGGAGGTAGAGACAAGAGGATTAGTAGTTCAGGGTCATTCTTGGTTTATACTGAATTCAGGGCCAGCCTGGGCTATATGAGATACTGTATAAAAAAATTCAGAGAAAGAGGTGTTGGGTGGGGAAGGTTGGGATTGGTAACAGTTGCTTATTACACTCTAGCTACTACTTCTGTTGCTGGAGACAGGTGTGAGGGCAGATGTCTAGCCATGCCCTGGGTTTCAGGGGTTGTAACAGAGGGTGGGCACCAGACATGGCTCTGGTTCTGGCTCCACAGCCAGTTTCCCAGGGAGTCACTTCCACTCCCCAGACTCAGTCCCTCTCCCACAGAGCTCCAGACCTGTCCATGCTGGCCTACTGGACCTCTCTCAGGTCTGGCCTCTGGGGCTGAGGATGAATTCAAACTCTAACTCAAAGTGTTTAGTCTTCCTCCCTGTGTCTGGTTTGAGGTCACTGGTAGGTCCCTTAGACTCTCAGCTCCTTTCTCCCACTCTTTTTGTCTTTGCCTGGAAACATTAAAAGAACACTGAGTGCAGAGGGCCCAGTGAGGCCAAAGTCAGGCCTGAGCCCAAATCCCAGCTCTGCCGTGATTGTCTTTGGTGGCAGGAGCCAGTCAGTTTGCCCATCTGCAAAACGGGAACGTGGATACCATCTTGTGTTTTTTTTTTAATCCCTGAGAAAAGATTAAATTGAAACAGGTGTGTGATGAGCATGACTAACCATCATGTTCCTGAGGTCCGTAAGAATTAGAGATGGGGCCGGAGAGACTGCCCATCAGTTAAGAGCGCTGGCTGATCTTCCAGAGGACCCGGATTCAATTCCCAGCACCACATGGCAGCTCACAAAGTGTCTGTGACTCCAGTTCCCAGGGCTTCTGCTGGCCTCCCACAGACATGCATGCAGGCAAAACACCAAGGCACATGAAATAAATAAGTAAACCTTTAAAAAGAAAAAGAATTTGAAGCAATACAGAAATTTCGAAGTATCTGGCACAGAGTAAATGTTCAGGTCTCCAGTGGTTTTGTCATGTTTGACCTGTCCTCTGGCCTCCGTCCACAGACAGTCCCTGCTCTAGACTCAGCCTTGACTTTGGGGAAGCCACTCTGGCTGCAGAGGACAGGTTGGCAGGAGAGGGGAGCCTCCTTTGGGTGTATGGAGCACACATAGCTAATGCTCCTGAAACTAATGGTGCCTTATTATAATTGCGAAAACACTCATTACCCCTGTGTCATTCCTGATACCCACCTAATAATAGTTATTACCCCTTTATTACTGTGGAGTTTGTTTTAGCTTGCGATCTGATGGGGTTCAGTTTCATTTACAGAAAATGGAGAGTCATTTCATTCACCCAGATTGTTACTTAGTTTAGCAAATTGTTACTTCCCGGTAAAGCAGAGCCTAAGAAACTCCTCTGAAGGCAAAGTATATGTTTTGAAAGAGGAGTATTTTAGGCAAATGAAAGGCAGCCCAAAGGAAAACACTGTAGACAATCAGGAATCAGGAGTCTGAGCTGCAAGACTGGGACCCACCCCTGGCCTTGACAAAAGGAGAGACTTGAGGCCGGGGTCTGGAAGGAACTGGCTTAGAACGGGAATGGATTCAGGGCCCCAGTAACCCTGCTGTCACCCCACACCCAGGAATGGTGGTTCTCGTGTGGATGAAACAATTTTTCAAATTTATTGTTGCTATCATGTATGTAGTGGGGGCGCATGCGTGGCATGAGATACTTGTGAAGAAAAGAGGACAACTTGAGGCCGTCTGTCCTCCCCTTCTACCATGTGGGTTCTGGGGATCAAACTCAGATCCTTAATCTTGGCAGCAGCTTCTTTCCATCCTAAGTCTATCTAACCAGCTCTCTTCCCTGCCCCCCTCTTCCCAACGATGTTTCCGTGTTTGGGCCTTCTGAACTCTGAGCTGGCTTGTTGAGCTTAGCAAATAAAAATTTAGGATTGCCCATTCAGTTTTCCTTTCAAACAAGCAACACAAAATTTCAGCTTAAGTATATCCCAGCTATTCTAAGGCCTGTGCTTAGACCAAGAGACCATACTCGGTGTTTAGCCCAAATGCAAACAGAGCTGAGCCTCCTGTATATGATCTGGCAGCCCGGGCGCTGACTACTGCACGGGTGTTTTCCTAGTTGTAACGATAATAAAGATGCTGTTTATGGGATGTGACCAAAAGCTGTGCTAAGCATTTCGCACATGCTATCTTTTGCCCTTCTGGCAAAACCAAGAGGTCTATGATTATCACCCCTGTTTTATAGTTGAGGAAATCGTCTCAGAGAGGTGAGGGAACTCTCTGGAGCTCACAAAACATAGGTGGCGCAAGTAGGGGCAGAGCCCGAGGGAGCAGCAGAGACGGTGGAAGGCATGGAAAACTTCCTGGGGTCAGAGTTTATTATTTGAGGAAACTAATAGTTAAAAGCACGTGGAACACCAGGTGTGACATGCTGTATCCTGTCTTCCAGAATCACCGCCACCCCCCTATTCTCGGCTGTCTCCTCGTGACCAGTACAAGCCACTGGGTAAGTGTGCCCTCCCCTGGAGGGGGTGGGCTGAATTGGGTGCTTTCAAACAGGGCGAAGTTTTACAAACACTCCCACGGTTGGGATGCTGTAGAGGGAGACTATTTACATCTTCAAATTCCAGGCTCCTCGTTAACCTCTATATGACCCTTAAACATGGGCCTGTGGGAGATGAATGGGTTCTGACTTAAGCTGCTCTTTGGAGGTGGGTTGGAATTTCTGGGTCTCTTTTCCTCCCTTCCTCTCCCATCCTTGGGTTATCGTCCACTAGTGTGTTAACTGGGAGTGTGACAGGCAGACTGGGCATGGTGTCTTTGTTGAGTTGTATCTGTCCTTGTCCCCCACCTGGACAGGTAGACAGGTACCCTAGCTGTCTCCGAGGAAACTTAGTGGAGATGGTGTGTCGTTTCAGATAAGTCCCCTGCAAATGGCAAGATGTGTTTTCTATATAATCTAAGTGTCAGCTCATGATCTGGGTGCACTCATGCAGTTTTAAAAGCAGATGAGGGGCTGGAGAGATGGTTCATGAGCTGAGAGCACTTGCTGCTCTTGCAGAGGATGTGGGTTCAATTCCCAGCACCTACACTAGGTGCTTCCCAACTGCCTGTAACTCCAGGGAATCCAATGCCCTCTTCTGGTCTTCAAGGGCACTTGCTTGCCCTTGGATGGGTGTGTGTGTGTGCGTGCACACACACCCACTTGCACACACACACACCAATTAAATAGTATTTAAAAACAGATGCCCTAGGTCCTGGGCTCTTCCCAATGGATTTAGAGCAGGGATGTAGTCTGTGGTGTTCCAGTAGCAGTGAGCTAGCCTTAAGAGTTCCAACACAGCAACTTTATGACCCCAGTTACTGTGAGGCCCAGGCCTCCAGAGTCCATTGGCATGGTATGGGTGCTAGAACATTCCCAGTTGACCACAAAGACTTAAGTTTATGGTTGAAGCATCCTCTCTGGAGTATGTGAACTCTGGCTTGGAAGGTTACTTTCCAGGGTCATGGATGCAGGGGCTCACCCCAGGTTCCTTTCAGCTCTTCATCCCCAGTGAGGTCAGAAATACATCCACTCCAGAGTTGCTTGAGGAGTTTGATCCATGGCTAATGGAGCAAGGGCTGTCCCTCAAGGGTATTGGAGGCAGTGGCTGAGTAGCGCTGATTGTGTGCCTTGTGCACAGGGAGCTTTGTTTACTTCTTTGGGAACTAGAGGGGTCATGGTCTTGTGGTAGATGAGGAGGAGTCAGCTGAGTGAGGAGAGGGAGACTCCTAGCCGAGGAGCTGCAGGGCTGAGACACCAACCCAGGGCAGCTGCAGCTCAGGCTATGGCTTCCCCATCTTCCTGCCATAGTAGGCCGGCCTCAGTATCTCCTGAGTCAAGTCAGTCATACCTATAGAAGATGCTTCTCTCCATTAGAGAAAGAAAAAGTCAAAAGTTCATAACCAGTGACAGGATCATTGCTAGAGGAACTTTCAGTCAGCTTGGGGAAAAACAGAAAGGCTCTGGAGAGTGACTGTTTAGAAGCTAACAGGTATCCCATTACTTCACAGGTGGGACACCTGAGTCCAAGAAAGCAAACACGACCCTTGTTGGGGCTCACAGAACTCCATCTTAGCATAAGAGATAAGAATGGCGTCTACTAATTTGATTGATTGATTGAGACAGGATCTCCTTATAGAGTCTAGGCTGCCTTTGCTTTAAACTCTTCATCCTCCTGCCTCAGCCTTCTGCTTGCTGGAATTACAGACTTGTATCACTGTGGCTGGCTCTCTTCTTATTGTTTTAAATGGTGTGGAAAAAAGAAACAGAGTTGCAAAAACCTTGCCCCGAACATGGAAGGGGAACAGAATGTAGGTGGTCTGAAGGCAAGCAGCGGGCGCCTAGTCATCTCCTTCACGTTGCCCACGGCTGCTCCTTTTTGCTACTCTGCAGAGCTGAGCAAGCATGAGGCTCCCATGGCTGAAGATGGTTGCTCTCTATAGAAAAAGATGATGACCTCTGATACTGCTGGCTGTTGCTGGAGGCTCATCTCGAACTGGGACTCCAGATACCATCCAGGATCCCTCCATGGCTTGAGGTGGTGTTAGAGGCTGGGAGAGATCTAGGAGAGAGATCTTTTTCTATAGCAGCCACCACAGGAAGGCTGCCTTTGAGTGCTTCCGTGGAAAGGCTAGATCTGAGGGCGTGGCAAGGGTGTGACAGGTACTGAGCGGCTTCACAAGGTAGAAGTCACTCGCCTTTCCTACCCTTTCTGAAAATTCAGGATGCTAACTTATATAGATGTAGCAGTTTGGTTCCTGGCACCCACGTCAGGTAGCTCAGAATTGTCAGTGATTCCAACTCCAGTGTATACATACCTACATGGAGACACACACCTATGCATACACATTTTTAACAAAAGTATTAGGACCCAGCCCTTGACCTGGTGCGGATCCTTCAGATGAGAAGTAGCATCGAGGCTCCAGGCATTCTGCACTGGGGACAGTAGGTAATAAAGGAAAACTCAAGGTGGGGAAGATGGCTCAGTCAGTAAAGTGCTGGGACATGAGTTTATTCCCCAGATATGGAGGTATGCCTGTCCTACCCCTGAAGAGGCCCATTCACGAGTTCTCCCTGAGACTCGCTGACCAGCCAGCCTAACCTACTTCATGACCTAGGCCAGTGAGAGACCCTGCTCATAGGGCAAAGTGAGGAATGTCATCTAGAGTTGACTTCTGGTGTATACACACACACACAAACACACACAGGTACAATGTGCACTTATATATATACACTCAACCATTCAAACAGACTGCAAAATTTTAAATCTTTATCATTGAAGAGTTTTTTTTTTTAAATATTCTGTGTCTCCATTTTCAGTACTGTTACCAGCAGATAATATATTTTTGTGCCTTTAGAAATAGTACAGTATCTTAAAAAGTTGGGGCTGGAGAGATGGCTCAACAGTTAAGAGCACCAGCTGCTCTTCTAGAGGACCTGGGTTCACTTCCCAGCACCCACATAGCAGCTTACAGCTTTCTTTAGCTCCTGTTCCAGGGGATCGGATGCCCTCATCCAAACATGCATGCAGGAAAAACACCAATGCATATAAAATAAAAATTATTTTTAAAACGATTTTAAAAGATGATTATTTCCTTTACCTTGAATTTTCTCTCTCTCTCTCTCTCTCTCTCTCTCTCTCTCTCTCTCACACACACACACACACACACACACACACACATACACACACGCAAAACTAGTTCGCTTCTGTGGCTCTCTGATCACGAGACCAGTAACCAACATAAAACTCAGCATCTGGCAAGTGGGAAATGAAAAAAAAAAAAGAGCCAAATTAGTTAATGTTTCATCTTTCCTGCTCTTCAAGCTATGTGGTAAAAGAAAAAAAAAATCCTGCAGGACGAGATGGAATTCTAGCTAGCCAGAGCTGATGCTGAGGGACTTGTCCCAGGAAACCTCCGCTCCTGGTGACTGCTGGGCCTGCTGGGGCTAGCCGAGCCGGATCTAGCTTGTGTTGGGTGACCAGAGGATGAAAGATTTCAGGCCTTCTAGTCCATGCTTCTCAGCTCCTGGCCAGGCCTGTCCTTTACTAGGGACAACCCTGAACTGCTTGTTGCAGAGGCCCATACCTAGGGGGAGAAAACCTCCCAAGTCTTCCCGTCCCCCAGAGCATCAGTTTATGAAACTGGTGGGGCGGAAAAAGTTCCCTTCCATCTCAGCGCACCGCGGGCAGGGGATGGCCGATGATGCATGCCCTATGAACTGCCTAATTAAGCCTGCTTTAAAACACAAGCATGAATGCAAAACCCGGCCCAAGCTCCACAGGATGGTGGGGAGTGGGAGAGGGGAGAGACAGCAGAAGTTAACCTGAGAGCAAACGCTTGGCTCTTAATGAGAGGCGTGTGGGATCAGAGGTGGCTGGTGATTTGTTACGTTCCTCCAGCTCCAGGAGGAAGAGAGGAAGGGAAGAAGGAAGGAAGCAAGAATGAACAACTTCAAGAATTTTAATGGTTTGATTGCGTTTAGCAGCTATGAATTGTTCAGGGACTTAATTTAACCTTACCCAAACAGGCTTCAAGTTGGTGCTTGCTCAGTCCCCTGATTGTGTACTACTTCTGTGGTCAGGGCCACCGAAACTCTTCCAGGTGTCAGGGTCACAGCGGTCTGCGTTTTTCCAGAAGAGTTCCGGGACTGGATAGTTGGCCCGGTCCTGGGGTGATCCTGAGACCAAGTCATCACAGGGAGACATCAGTAACTTGTGAGGGGGCTGTGGGTGTAGCTCAATTGGTAGAGTGCTTGCCTAACATACATGAAGCCCTGGGTTTGATTCCCTGCATTGCATAAACCCAGCTTGGTGGTACATGCCTGTAACCTCAGCATTTAGCAGACAAGAGCAAGAGGATCAGGAGTTCAAGGTTCGTTTGGACTACATACTGAAATAGAGGCCAGCCCGGGCTACAGGAATAAATACATACTAAGTAAGTGGTTGCCAGGGACATCTGCCCTTTATGCACAGGAACAGGTATCTTTCAGCCAACTGAGTTCTCTTTCTTTTCCCCCTCGAACAGATCTGTCCGATTCCACATTGTCTTACACTGAAACCGAGGCCACCAACTCCCTCATCACTGCTCCGGGCGAATTCTCAGGTTGGCATATTTTCTTCTCGTTTGTTGCTGTGGCTGGTACTGATGGGGATAGATGTGGGTACACTGATGGATGGAGTTTTGGAAAGATTTTGATTTCTTGTGATTTTTGTGCTCTGATCCGCCCACCCTGTGAATGGGAAGATGGCCAGTGTGTGTGTGTGTGTGTGTGTGTGTGTGTGTGTGTGTGTGTGTCTGGTGTTGTTGGAGTTAAGAACTGGATGTGGAGTTGCATGCCTGACAGCCCAGTACTCAGGAGGCTGAGGCAAGAGTTCAAGACCAGCTTGTGCTACAAAGCTGTGTGGTTTATGTGGGTGGAAACCTGAAGATAACTTGCCAGGTTTGAACCTTCGTCTCCACCACGTTTCTCTCATTCCTGTGACTTAGAAAGGCCTCTCCATTGTTGTAGCTGGGGACACTTTCCTCAAGGTGGATGGGTCACACATAAGTTGTCTTCCCTCTGTTCTCAGAGGGAGGGTCCATGGGTAAGCAAAGCGGATAGCTTGGGCAGACTGGCAGGGGAGACGTTTGCCAAAAGCTGATGGTGTCTATGCCACTTGGCGGTGGATGGCAGGAAGCAGGGGAAGGAACCCCAGCTTTGGTGCTGTCCCCTAATTGTTTGAAATTCCCCGCTGCTGGCCCTAAGGCCCCTCACATTCTTGTGAGAGGGTGGTTAGGGGGAACAGGGGCAGGAGGGTCAGGGACTCGGTTGGTGAGATCTGAGTGGTCTTCTGGAAGCCTGGAAGGTTGGATGTGCTGTGTGGCAGCCGGGTTTGCGGCCTGGGGCCAGGGGTGGCTTGCTGAGCCTCTGCATCTTCTCCCGACTCCACACCCAAGCTGTAAAAGGTAGTGGGGATGAGTGGTCAGCATGAGCCGGGCCCCACCCCAGCACCTTACACCATCTCTGGGCAGCTGGGCTGTCGAAACTCATAGGTACAGTGATTTCTTGTGTCCCGCAGGGCCACAGGAACCTTGCTACTCCGGCCTGAGCTCCTTGCTACTGTTGTGACACCCCTTCTCATGTGGAACAGTTGATTGTAGCCCGATGAATATATTCCCAGAGTTCCCCTCTGTCACTTGTCTAAGGTGACACAGTTCTGGCTGCTCCCAGACACCTGTTCATTTCCCTAGCCTTGCACCCTTCTTTGTCCATTCCCTGGTCTCCCCACAGTCCTGGGAGGAAACTCCCAAGAGTGTGACTGTTTTGAGAGATGGAGACGGAGCCAGGCGGTGGTGGCGCACACCTTTAATCCCAGCACTTGACAGGTAGAGGCAGGCGGATCTCAGTGAGCTCAAGACCAGCCTGGTTTACCACGTGAGTTCCAGGACAGCCAGGATTGTTACACAGAGAAACCCTGTCTCTAAAAACAAAACAACAACAACAACAACAAAACAACAAGCAAAAGAGATGGAGACAGAAAGCGAGACCCTACAGTGAGCTCATGGCTGCGGTGGTACAGGAATCCAGATCTCCTGTTTCCAGCTCCTGTCTGCTCTCTGGCCCCTGGTTCCCTAACCAGGCCACTTTTCCTCTCTCCTCTTTTTATTTGGTATTTTCTCCCTCCCTCAAAGATCCAGCCCAGGTAGTTAGGTGTGGTGGCACACATCTTTAAGGCCAGCACTCTGGAGGCAGAAGCAGGTAGATGTCTGTGATGTAGACCAGCCTTGTCTATAGTTCCTGCCAGCTGGGGCTACATAGTGAGATCTGTCACAAACAACAACAACCCCCCTCCACACACACACCACGATAAAAACTGTGTTAAAGATCCGCCCCGGCTAGGTGACACACAGTTAGACCACAGACCATTCTTTCTCATCTGTCCATGAAGGCAGAAGTCACAGGTGATTCTGGAACAAGGGGCTCTGATTTTTTTTTTTCACTTATGATTCTGGGTTCCTGCCAGCTCTCAGGGCTATTGTTAGCTGGGTTGCAGGACAGATGGACACTTTGACATCCTCTTTCCTTGTTAATAGTGGAGACTTGTATGTGTCTTTCACAGTGTGTTTGCACCAGAGGAGGCCTGGTGCCTGGTTCCTGCTTGAAGGGCATGAACCTCAGCACACCTCCAGAGGTGGGGACTGAAGGCTGAACTGTGTTGAGGTGGTCTGTGCTGGGGATTTCTGCCCAGATAATTCAGAGCTGAGTCTGTAATACGGGGCAATGAGGAGGCCACTGCTGGTCTTGACTGTCATGAAGAAAACGTCTAGTGGTTGCCGTTCTGAGAGTCTAGAAGATGAGGGAAGAAAAGTTTGGGGTTTCCCACGTGGGAGGATAGAATGAGGTGGCAATGGGCTTTGGACTGGGCTCCTGATGGCCTGAGTAAGCAAGTGGAACTTTTTTTGGGGGGGGGGGTCCTCCTGGGCCTTGGGCTTTGTTGGTATTGGCTGTCACTGGAGGGAAAACTGTGGGAGGGGTCCTTTGCAGGTGGGGAAAGGCCCAGGAGGTAGCAGGCCTTTGTAGAGAGTAGAATCATGGCTACTTCATCCTGTGGGGATAGAGTGATGTCACACAGGAGGGCATCGAGGAGTCCAAAGGTCAGGGGCGGAGTGGGCACAGGGTGTGGGTCACACTGGGGCATTTGATGGTCAGGGACCACTGGGTGGCTGCAGAGCCGGTAGTAATGTTGGTGTCCTTTGACCTCACACTCAGATCAGTACCGGCTGTTCTTTCTCTCCTTGACTCTGTCCTGCCATCCGTGAGACAGCTGGGATCCTTCCAAGTGTACCCAAAGGGTTCCTTCTTGAACAGCACCCCAAAGCTCAGTCAGACTGTCTTCTCTGCACGGCTTCCTCTCGCTGCTGAGTGGACAGTCCCAGTTTGCAGAATGTACATGGGGAGGTTTGGGCAGAATAACTTGGCAGAGACTTGGCCAGCTTCAGTGCCAGAGCTGGGGTGAGGGGAGGGCTTGATGAGTCTGTGCAGCCACTGAGCAAGCCCACCAACTGACTGTGCCATGCCATCCTTCTGTTCTCCTATGTCCTGAGGGCTCGGTGCCCTTGACAACCTGGTCCCTTTCACATTACAGAATAGACATCTTGCACACAGAGACAGTCACAGCCTGGCAGAACTTCCTGACTCTCTGCAGCTCCTGGTCAGAGTCTCTGTTCTTTCCTGTCCTGTGACTGAGGCCACACTGGGAGACGACAGGATTTAGGGGTTAGTCACAGGCCCAGGCAGGCAAGGACATGTGAGGAACTGCAGGAAAGGCCTCTTTCTTGGGGATGTTTGAAACTCTGGTGCTATGATTTCCTTGCTTCATTTAGGTCTGAGGTACCGTCCCCTGTTTATCCAGGGTCCCCTTAGATATTCAGTCTTAACATGGGCTGTCAGTTGGGCTCTGTGGTCTACGCAGGGACACTGAAGGTCAAAGGGCACAGGTGATTGCACCCACGTCACTCAGGTGGGAGAGGTAGATGTGGGACTTCAGCCAGATTCTGGAGACCCTCGCACCAGTGTCTTCAGTGGGATTTGAGTCAAATCCCCGGCCTCGGGCTCTCTTTAGGGAGTGTTCTTGGAGGTCTGGTGCTTTGGGTGCCTTGATTCCCTGGGTCTGGAGTGCTGTCCCCCAAAGTTCCGCTTGGCATTTTTCTTACAGCACTAACATTCCTCTCCTGATCCCTCGAATTCAGTTCATTTGAGGATGAGGTATGTTGGGATAAAGGAACTCACACCAAGGTGCAAGTAGCTGTGGGTTACAGCTTCTGGAAGGCAGAATATGTTCTCGTTCAGAGAACTGCAGAAAGAGAGGGCAGAGAGAACTGGTGTTTTGAAGAGAGCTGGTGGGACAGGCGAGGTTCTCCCAGCATCCCCTACTCCAGCCTAGAAGAAGGAGAGTGCTCCTGACATGGGACCTTTGTGCCCTGGCTGAGGGAAAGAAGGAAGGAGCCTCTGCCGGTCCAGGCTGTGTGCTGGCTGTCCTGTGAACTCGAGTCATTTCATGAGAACTCAGGGTGTGGTGGGCTCTGAGCACTTAGGCCTGCCTAATTCCATGCCAGGGCACCTGCCTGGTATTTTGTACCTCACCATCACCCGAATAATCAAGAGCCTATCAGGTAATTGGCCAGGTGTTTATTTAGCCCGGTATTATGCCGTATAAGCTGCTGGTAGCGAGGACTAGGCAGTCGCTTCCATTGGCCTTGACTGTGTATGCTGGCTCTCAGTCTGAGCTCTATCAGAGAGGGCATACTCCTCCTTAGGAGAGATGGCAGTACCGCTGCGGTAGTGGGGCTGAGCTAGATCTGGTGTCTACCCAATCAGAAGCTCCTTGGGGACTCAGGCCCTATTCGTGCTTACATTCTCCATGCTAACCGTTTGGAGAACAGCAAGTGTTGGTAGCTGGAACTAAGTCAAAACATAGGTGGACCTGTGTTGTTTTTCCACCCGCTCCCTGGTAGGGATGGTGCCTGTCCTACGACTGTTGCCTCTCGGCTGAGTGTTCGTTCTTTGCTCACATCTTCAGCACAGATGACAATGTCACTGTCTCTCCTTGATTGCCGGGATCACACAGGCCTTGTCTGGCATAGGCTCTGTGTCTCTGTTTCCCTAAGGGCTCTGTCAGCTTCAGCCAGCACAGGTTTAGCCTTGCAGCAGCGGTAAATGACAGACAGGGGCTTTGCAACAGTTAGCTCTGGGTTCAAGTTCCTGCTCTGCCTCCTGATTACTTGAAAGGGAGTGGTTGCTTAGCCACCCAGCTCCTCAGTTTTCCCTCTTGTGGAGTGGGGACAATAATAACATGCCCTTTAAAGAAGGTGTCTGAGCCTCTGGTCAGTTACCTGTGTAGTCCTGTGTGAGGTGTATGGCTATTAAGAGGTATCTAGCCAGGAGGTGAGACCTGTATCAGTTCCGCTCTCTAGGTGCCCATATGAGGTGCCACGGCAGGAGGCAATTGGGAACCTCCTGTTGAGAGGCAGCCAGAAGTGTCAGAAGAGGGGGTACCCAGGTGGGGTCTAAAGGATGGCTGGAAGTCTGCCATCCGTTCCTTCATTTATTTATATGTGCATAC